AGAAGCCCCTGCCTCTCGCACAGCCAACAAACCCGCCGCTGAACCCAGCAACCACGTCGGCCAAGTCGGCCTCGACGTCCCAGACGACGAGCCCCCACAAAACAACAACACCCGTAACCAAATGTTCGGCGACATCAAAGTCACCAGCCGTCCTAAGATCACCGTCCCGATCGTCGCGGCCTTCGATTACATGCGTATTCGCGTCCGCGATATGCCTATCGCTCAGGCGTATGCGCCTGCTGTCGAGAAGTTGTTTGATCTCCAGGAACGCGCGGGCGAGGAGAAGGCCGAACAAAGGAAGGAGGCTGCTAAGCAGATCGCGCAGAATAGGCAGAAGGCGAAGAAGCAGAAGCAGGAGAAACATAAGCAGATTCCTGTTTCTGCTGAGGAGATGGAGGTTGAGAAGTCAGAGGGGGCAGATGTTAAGTCGAAGTCGATTTGGAGTGCGAGTGAGAGTGAGAGTGGGTGGAGCACGAGTGGGAGTGATAGTGAGGGGGAGCGCATTAAGAAGGAGCATTATGCTAGGAAGCGGAAGGGTAGTGCTGCTGCTGCTGCTGCTGGTAAAAATGGGCAGTAAGAGCAAGTAGATTGTGGGAAATATGGGATAATATCATATTAGAAGTATATAACTTTCGAACATATTATCATGATGTATTATTATTCTTATTGGTGTTTGACTACGGTCAAGCATTTTGGTTTTAAAGAAGAATAGATTACTACGGCTCAAGAGCAAAGCAGTCATACTGCATACTATGTATTATGTCTTCCAATAGACCAACCATAGTAGTAAATATGTATATCTATTAGACCAAATCACCCAATCTCACAATAGTGGTCAAGAAAAGAAAAGAGAAGAACTAGGTACAGAGTAAAGCAACCTCGCATACACACACGCGAATCAACCGTCGTAGACTCTAGAACCCAGCCACCGACTTCTCCGCATCATTCTTACCATACAACCCCTCACCGAGATTCTGCAGACACTCGGACCTCCAGTCCTTGGGGGTGAACTTGTCCACGATCTCCTTGAACGCTTCCAGCGTACAGAAGTTCTCGTCACCAGGGAGATGGTTCTCGGCCTTAGCGGCGCAACCGGGGATCCGGACAGGACGGTCGTTGTATCTAATGCGGACGTAGTGGGAGCGAAGGGATTCTTTAGATGATTCGGGGAGGGAGGACAGAGGGACACGGGCTGTTTCGGAGGGTTGGGGGGTATTAGGCGTGCTGGAGGAGGAAGAGCCAGTTAGGAAGGAGAAGAGGCCCTTCTTGTTGGTTGCGTCGCCAGATGTGGATGTCGCGCGTGCTTGTTCTTGTTCGGCTTTGGAGAAGAGCTCGATGGCTACGGAAGAGGTGAAGGGGGGCCATTTCCCGTCGAAGGCGCCCGTGCTGGTGAGGATAGCGGCAAGAGTGGTGTCGTGGCAGCCGCTCATGGCGAATTTGATGGCCTTGCCGTTGGTTGGGGAGGAGCCCGAGGCAGAGGACTCGCTGCGCCAGCCGCCGTCAACGGCGGTGCTAACCATGCGGTCGACGACATCGCCGAGGAGAGCACCAATGCCGAGTTTGCGGTATTCGTTGCTCTCGGTATAGCCGGTGAACCATTCGTCGACGGAGATCTGGTCGATGTAGTCTCTGAGTTTGCGGTCGTAGAATTCGGAGGGGAGCTTGGTTGCGGGGCCGTGGGCATCGGTAGCGTTGATGGTGTCGTTGATTCCGCACAGTTGAGGGTGGCCGTCTACTGCGACTCGGGGGGAGCTTTCGGGCATCCACTTGGAGATGCGCTTGTTGATGTAGTCCATTTCATCAGAGGTGTTCCCTGTAAGATTGTTAGATTGTTAGTGGTTTGAATGCTTGGCGGCTACTATGGTATGACAGGGTGCATTGGACTGGGGCATCAGAGTAGAGGACGTACATTTGAGTGCTGCTTTGTTCGCAAAGAGCCTAGCAAGCTGCCTGAAGCGGCGGCAGTTTCCTTCATTCGGGAAGAGAGTCTCCTCTGACACAGCGCGTGCAACGATTACCGGGGGTGGGAAGTCCTGGGTGCGGGCACTGGCGGGATACATGCCCCAGAAAGCTTGCTGGAGGGACTCGAGGGCACGGGGAATGGGAGTGGCACGAAGATACATATCCTCGGTATCGGACTTGACCTTGGGCATGAAACCCAGCTGGTCGACATACAAGTGTCGCAGACGCTGGCCTAGGGCAAAGGTGGTCTCCCGTCCTTTGTCTGTCAGCTCACCGTGTTGGCTGGTACCCAGTCAGCAGGACCTCCTGAAAGTTTATCGCTGAAGTCCAACTTGCCAGATGCCTTCTATATCACCAGTTGCTCCCACTGCAACCACAGATTGGTCCTTGTCGCCAAAAGCCTCCGTCTTCCTCCTCCATTCGAACCCGTTCCACGATGTGAGGTCTTTGTTGCTGGCGGCCATTTGAATCATCTGTCGCGCAACATTGCAATACGGCCAGTCTTTGCAGAAGTAAAGAAGTCAGTGATGGGCCGGTCAAATGCATGCGTCAAGGTGGAAGGACGAATTACATGGAGCGAGTCCTGCCTAAACAATATTAGCCTGGAGGAGATAAGCTGGGGGGAAGGGTTGGACCGCATACATTCTGGAAACGCGAAGAGACGGGCGTTCGTTCTCCTGAGGAGCAGACGTTAGATCAGTAATATTGAAGCGAAATTGTAATATGTATATCCTCCTTACCATGACGGAGAAACTGAACCATGCATTAGCCAGCGTCCTGCGTGGGCAATCGGGGGGTTTGATTTGCCGGCACTTACCACTTGCACCAATTGGAGTTTCAAGTCCCGAGGATAGAGCCGGTCCAGCTCCTCCTGGGAGTAAGGCTCACGGGGGACCAGAGTTGTCATTGGAAAGGCAGTCCGCAGTGAAGCACCTGGCAGGACTTGAGAGACGGCGTCAATGACAAGGGGGAAAAGGTAAAGAGCGAGCCTGGCAGACTAATAAATGAATGAAAGACAATGGGCGCAACGGCCGGACAGGCGGTGATGACGCCAGCAGGCGGTCTGGCCGAGGGGAGCCAATCAACAGGCGGCCTTGAACCCCGAGGCCGTTTCGATGGTTTTTCGCGGGGATTTTCTCCATTCATTCCATTTGCTGTGCCTGCTTTAATTTACGATGAAGTTCCTTTGGTGCACAGTTGTTGATCAGGGTCCTTTTGGCTGTTTCACTAAACATTGAAGTCCTAACTGGTTACTATCTTCATACCCTGAGTATATCAAAGGTACTATTGTAGGCACGATTCCTGAACGAGTATTCCCAGACTTCTCAACGAGATTGAATACAATCTACTACTCCGTGGTAATTGGGTTCAACTTCCAGTGGTCTTCTCCATCATCCTCGTAGTTTAGATAGGTGTGGTTGACAGGTTGTCATGCACGCCGACTGCATATATTGCTCGCACTTATTTCCCGATCAAGTCTCCGTAACCATACACCTCTTGACCCTTCTTATGGGTCAAATAAATAATGGCCCTCTGCCAATGCCGCCATTGAATTCTATTGTCAAATTCGTGGTTGCCCTCAAGATTGGCCGCCCAGTATGGGCACCGCATGGTCATGGTAACAGTTCAGTGCAAATTACCACATGTCATAAGATTACCCTGTATTATATCCCGGCATGAAGCCATTTGCGTCGCTATCACAGCTGCAAACTTGACAGCTGTCCACCTGTACTCTGTAGCATGAGATAGATAACTGCCCTGGTAGTTGGTTGGGGGATGCGGAAAGGATCACGCACCAAAGGCGGAGAGCAGCATCTCTCCGTGCCAAGCCGCACCTCCCGCGCTTATCGCATTGGACGCACCGCATCTCTTTCATTGTCCTCCACTTCCATCCACTGTGATTGGCAATCCAGGAACGCACTGTCAGGCATTGAGACTTCTGTTGAGTATAAGCCACTCCCATTGCACCATCTGTATGTGTTCTTAGCATCACATCTCCTCCAAGTTCCTGTGCAAGCCCTCCAATCCAGCCTGTACTGCCCCGTGCCTACCCACCTATACATCCTCTTTGGTCTGATATTCTTGTTATCGTGAGAGAGAACGTATTGAGCCTCTCATCCCGTGACTCCCTTCCTCTTTCGCTTGAGTGATCATTTGCCAGCCATGCACTTCACACTCTGCTGAGCCTTCCTTATTCCCATCCGTTCCTGTGCAACAAGCCACCCTCCAGTCACTCTGCCCATATCCTGGTTGCTCCGTCGATCATCTTTCCGGGGTTCTGGTGCGGAGATTGCAAACACTGCGTTTCATACTTCACTGTCTCTCGTTTGGCTTCAATTTGCTTGAACTCAATCTCTTCAAACACGTCCCTCTCCTCATCTCATATCATCGTGTCGTGTGAGACATTGAACTTGTGGTAAGTCTCTGCCATGTTCTTTGGATGTAGTTGTTTCTTGCACTCGCTGAGCTGATTACTTAGGTGGAAAGCATCGTTTCTGAAATAGCACACGGATTGAACCGAGTCTGAAGCCATGGATGTAAGGATTCTTCCAATGCCCCTCTCTCTTATCTGCAGATGAGCCTGCACCGTCTGTCGAGCTGTGGAAATCAATGAGGTGTCTTTTTGACTGCTGTGCTGGACTGCTGGGCCCAGATTGGCTCTGCTTTATGTCTTCGCTGTTGCCTGCGTGTCAAAAGTACTCTGTGTTGTGTGAGCTATCTGCAGATGCCCTTCAACGTCCGACCGGCTCAACCAGAAATGAGTTGTCTTTTGTGCTCGGATACACCCAGAGCAATCAATTCTGTTTTGTACGAGTCTATGCACGTGTCAAACACGCCCGGCGAGTCCCAGGTGCTTATTTTCACGTTCTCATCACATTCGAGCTCGGGGCACGTGACCTGTATTCACGCTTTCACTTCATGTTGTTGGAGAGGACTGGATGGCTCATGGGCATTCATTTCTCTGCTGTCTTTGCTGTCTTTGCTGTCTTTGCTGTCTTTGCTGTCTTTGCTGAAAGCTTTCCACGCCCTTGGTCATCATGGAGCTACCTCGTCGGATCGAACCTGGCTGGGGGAGCGCATCCAAACAGACCCAAAGCGAGAATACTGCAGCCCCCAAGTCTGATGCACAGCTAATGCTTGAGAATGTTCTACAGGGAACTACCCAATCTATGGAGCAGTCCGCTGAGTCGGCCAATAAACCCCAGGATGCTAAGCCTCGTCTGATGCTGATGGGCCTGCGTCGGTAAGCTGTCCCTACCGTAGCTGGTCCCGTACTGCATTCTAACATTACCTAGGAGCGGCAAGTCATCGATCGCTAGCGTGGTCTTCCACAAAATGCCACCCAACGAGACTCTTTTCCTGGAATCGACGACCCGGATCCAGAAGGATTCAATCCAGTGAGTACGCCGGTTCTCCACCATTCATACTGCACTGACACAGGCAAACAGCTCGTTCATGGACTTTCAGGTCTGGGATTTCCCTGGTCAGCTGGAGTACCTAGAGCCGTCTTTCGATCTGGAAAGCATCTTCGGAAGTTTGGGCGCGCTGGTCTGGGTCATTGACGCTCAAGACGATTACATGGAATCGGTGGCGCGTCTCAATCGCACGATCTTAACCGTTCAGCAGTACTATCCGAACATCAACATCGAGGTCTTCATTCACAAGGTCGACGGTATCACCGATGAATACCGCACCGACACATTCCAGGATATTGTCCAGCTCATTTCGGACGAGCTCAGTGATGCGGGGTACGAAAATGCTCCGGTTCATTACTACCTGACCTCCATCTACGACTACTCCGTCTTTGAGGCCTTCAGTAAGGTCATTCAGAAACTCATTCCCAACCTGTCTACGTTGGAGAATCTGATCAACACCTTGTCCAACAATTGCGGATTTGAAAAGACCTATCTTTTCGACGTTCTCAGCAAGATCTACATTGCGTCCGACACCCGTCCGGTTGACATGTCCTGCTATGAGATGTGCTCCGACTATATTGACGTTATTGTGGACATTTCGGAGCTGTACTCCTGGGATCACCCCGACCGCAAGGCCAAGGGCGAGCAGAATCAGGAGGCAGAAAGCCACGCTGTTTTGCACGATGATACGATGATCCACCTCATGGAGATGAACAAGTATGTGGCCGAGCTGCCCCTCCTTTGACGATGCTAACAGATAGTAGGTATCTTTGTCTTGTTTCCGTTATCCGGAACCCCGAGTCGAAGGATAAAAAGGGCCTTATCGATATGAATTGCCGTACCTTCCAGGAAGCTCTCAATGATGTCTTCTCCCGCAGCTGGGAGCAGGACCAGGAAGAACCCGGAGTGGTGACCGAGGAGTAAAATACCGAATTCATTTGCATTGGCGAGGTTGTCTTGTTTTTTGCTCTGTTTCGTCGTCCCTCTTTTGGGGCTTAGCAGGGAGTATTGAGGCACGGTTCGGGATGGCATGACACCTCGGATGAGCCCTCTATCTTGCGACATCGAGAATATGTGAAGCTCTGGTAGTTTTCACCCTATTTTGATGGGATCAAGTCTGAGGCTGGTACTTTGATAGTATTATATCCGAGTTAGTAGTCAATACCATAATGTGAATTCCTACCAAGTAAACATGAGACCCGCAGTAGCCCTTGTAGCAAGGCATCAAGGCACAGAGCTGAACATGAGACCCGCCCGGCGGAACTTTCTTCCTGGGCAACATAAATTCATCTGGAAATTCTTTTCTTCGCTTGTTTTCTGTCATCACCAGCTGTGGTTCTTGAACGCCTTTTGCGACTTCAAAAATGGATTGAAGATTTTGCGATTGGCTATGCCAGTACTAACTTCGAAGCATCAATACTACAGGTATCTTTTCATCAGCAATCTTTATGGTAAGTTCGACAGAATTCATTGCACATGCTTCAATCAAGCTTCCCTCCCCAATCTCGATGATGAAAACTTTTCCTACATTCGCAGTTTCCACGCTAGCCGTCGCGAGAACCCATTCTAGACGTGCTCTGTGCGCAATACTTCCTTGGATGTCTGATGAGATTGACTACCTTTTGCCTTTGCTTCTGCAGTTTTCTTGTAGTTGAATTTGGCTAACTGGATTGAAGTTATAGGTTCACTTTAGATGCACATCTGCTTCGATATAGATATCAGGAGGAATACTAGACCAAGACATACTCGTCAGTGTGCAGGATAATGGAAATGGCGCAGAAGCAGCTAGCTACTGATCACCCAGTAGCTTTACGCTTTTTTCAGAATATCTGTTCAAACAATGCAAGAATTATGATCTGTACAAATACCTCTCCAAGTAAACCAAGACCGTAGCTGTACCTCTGGCCCTTAAATTTCAATAAAAGCACTATACCTGTCACACCATGCGACTCCCGAAACAAGCTAACGGAGAGCGCGGAAATACTAAGGGTACTTAGCCAAGCAGCAGCTACTACTTACCTTTTACCTAACCATCTATCCATTCCACCTATCCCTCTTCTCCCATTACTATACCTACCTCTACTTGTTTCCCAATCCAATGGCCTACAAGTAATTTACAACCAACCATCTCACCACCATCACATACACACACAACAACAAACAACAAGATAACGACTATGTCCTCCGAACTCCGCCAACGTCAAAAACCAACACCATCGAAACCCTCCAAAACCACCAAATCATCATCATCCTCATCACCCAAAAATGGCATCTCTATCCTCGACATCATCCGTGTGCTGGCCACACTCCTAATCGCCTCGTGCGGTCTCTCCTACTACATGACCTCATCCGAATCCATCCTCTGGAACTACCGACCCTGGTTCACCCGCTGGCCAGTCCTAGTCCGCTACATCGTATGCCTCATCCCCTCATCCCCATAACCCTCTCACACCACATACACATCTATTAACAATGAACAGCAAGGGCCCCTCCTCCTAACCCCCACCGAACTCTCCCTCTACAACGGCACAGACCCCACCCTGCCCATCTACCTCTCCATCAACGGCACCATCTACGACGTATCCGCGAACCCGCTCGTCTACGGCGCCGGCGGCCACTACAACTTCTTCACGGGGCGGGATGCGACGCGCGCCTTCGTGACGGGATGCTTCAAGGAAGATCTCACGCCGGATATGCGTGGCGTCGAGGAGATGTTCATCCCGATTGACGATCCCGAGGAGGAGAAGCGGTTGAGTAATGGGCAGAGGAAGGTGCGGAGAGAGCAGGATTTGAGGATCGCTAAGCAGAGGATTCATAAGGCCGTGGCGCATTGGATGGGGTTCTTTGCGAATCATAAGAAGTATTATGAGGTGGGGAAGGTCGTGGGACTCGAGGAGGTGGTGAAGAGGGAGGAGGAGGAGGGCGTTAAGAGGGAGCTTTGTACGGCTGCGAGGCAGCAGAGGATGACGAGGGAGCAGGTTGAGAAGGCGAAGGGGGGGAAATAGTAGGTTGGATTATTTATGAAATATATAGTGTGTATTGTGTATGATGTATGATAGTGGTTTTGGTGGGGGAGAAGGGGAGGGGTTATTATCGTCGCTTGGGATTTTGTTATCTAGACGATAGATGCATAATCATGTGAATATTGAAGATATCCACCCAGACGTTTGGTATCGCTACAAGTGCATGTATTGAGTCTTCGACTGGCTCACTACGCAGTCCTTCTAACCACGGCAATATTAATCTACAAGGAATGCGTTTGGAACAGATTTTGGTTGAATTTCAGCCAGTCATATTCTAACTTGACATGTCCATCAAATCGCCCAGCCCGACTTTCCGAATTTTCATTCGAGTGATATCATATCGTTGCACAAAGAAAAATGCGACGCGCGAGGAAAAATATTCATAGCGTCATACGTTTACTCGGCGGTGACGGCGCGGGCTATTACCGATGTCAGTATTCCATCTCTCTCTCTCACACATATACTGTAGGATTCCGTGAGGGGGGTGCGTACTGTAGATGTTCATCTTGGAATGACCAACAACCTTCTTGATCTGTCCCTTCTCCTCAAGGTCAGCAAGGGCCTGGCGGGCCAAGCTGCCGTTGATCTTGAGACGGTCGACCAGAGTGGCGACAGTGATCAGACGGTAGGACTGGACATCCTTGTTGAGACGCTCAGCGGTCTGCTTCTCGAGGACGACGGCGTGCTGGGCCTTGTCCTTGACTATATTCGGAGAAAAATCGATGTCAGTAAAGTGTCCCTGTTCATTCATCTCGGTTTTGTGTATCGGTTCGCGATCGATTGCATTCATGCATCATGTGCGTCGTGTGTAATATCCATCCATCTATCGCTATCGTGGAACATGTATATGTATGCTTCTTCTTTCTCTTCGTTCGATACAATAACAGGCGATTTCCGACTCTTGAACTCGATAGGGGGGGGAATGATAATGATGGTGATGGTGATGGAAACGGGGAGTTATAGCGTACCCTTGCCCTTGGACCACTTCTTTCTGGTAGGAGCCTGCGAGATAATATTAGTATTGATACATCTTCCCCCTTTCTGCACTGCGAGTGCTACTCGGCGATGGTACTCACCATTTTGACTGTCTGATGTAGCTGTTCGACGGAGGAGAGCTGCACAACAGATCGAACGGTCTGAAGTTTGAGTGCCCAAGTGCGAAATTCGAGTGGGGGATGACTCAGCGTCACGTGCGGATGAACCCTAAGCCCTGGGCTGTCGGTGCCGCTCGGTTAGCATTGGCTGCTGCAATGCCGGATGTGATTGGTCGGTCGGGGTACACCTGTTTGTATGCTTGATGGTATGGTACGCAGTACTGGAGTATAAGGGTCTGCTATACATAGGTGGTACCCAAAGGTATAATTAAGATTAAGTATAGTTCCGCTATGTACACAGGTATTGTATCAGTTCGTTATAGGGTTTCCCTCATGGAATCTCCCTCGTAAAAGCATACCCGGCTTTGATGCCATTGGGTGTATAGTAGTATAGAGGACCAGCTGGCAATATGATCATCCAGCCGGATGAATGCGCTTTGTGGCACTCCTCGACGGCGAACTCATCTGCTGGTACCAGGTCCGTAGCTACTTCCCTTGACTTTACCATTAATGGTAGTGGTAACCTTAAATTGTGGCGCATCTTCGACACTCTCAAGGTGACCAAGTACAAAGTCGTCCGGGGTTCCAAACCAGAACTTCGAATCATCGTCCTCATCGAAAGACAGCCATCGCACCTCGTACCGTCCGGTCTCGCTTCGCGGAACGGGGATGCGCGTAACTAACGGCTGGCTATACGGCGACCAGTACCGAAGAGCAGCGTAGGCGGTATTCGCTGTGGTTATAAGTAATTGCGTCTTGGAATGGTGCCACACGACCTGTCTAACAGTATGTTCGTGGACTAGCGCCGACAACAGGACTGGGGTGCTCTCCAAATCCCATATCCAGACAATGTTTGGTCGCGTCGGATCGACGGTGCCCAGAAGAGTCCCGCTGGCGCTAAAGGCCATGATCGACACTCCCCGGGGCGCCCCGGATGGCTCGACTGGCATACCGAACGCAGAGGAGCTCGATGCTTCAGCATATTCAAGGTCTCCGTCAGCTGCATAGCGTTCCCGCCAGACACTGGGGGAATTCTGCTCTATCTGAAAGACATGGGACAGTGTGATAGAACAGGAAAACTAGATTTATCAGCTTTGTCATGCATAGAGCAGCCATCCGAAGTCATCTTACTGTTCGTGTCTTGAGAATGTCAACAGTCCCATCGACCTTTCCAACAATCAGAAGCTCTGACACACCGCGTTGCCCGGTAACAGGGCTCCACTCTATCCCTCTAACGCCGAGGTCGAGCGAACTATCGATGCCCGAGGGGCCACTATACGTTCTGAAGAGCTGCCCATCAGCCGTGAAAATGAGGACTCTGGTGCCCGCACTCGCAGCATCCCACACGGCTATCCATCTCCCGTCCGGACTCCATTTGAGGCCCTGAGCGTCTATTGTAGGCAAGACTGCTCGGCCTATGAGCTCGTAAGATCGAAATTCGTGAATGGTCAATAGATCAACTGCATCCGGCTTCAGAAGAACAGCAAATTGCCTTGTTTTGGGTCGGTAACCGAAGCCATTGCTGTTCGAAAACTTGGGACTTTTGATGATTTGGCTTCGACCAGAGTCCAATCCGAAGACTGTTATTTTCGTGTTCCAGGCATGAAAGAACACGACCTCGTTCTCATCGCCTCCGAAGTCGACGTATGTAGCGCCAGGCTCAATGCTTTCGATTTCTGCGAGCAATTGCAACGGGTCCAATTGCCAGACTAGGATCCGTGAATCACTAGAACAAAGCACGCGTCTTCCTGGGGAACTCACTCCTGCGTAGGAGTGCGTGCTTGAAGGTAAAACAGGCTTGGATCTGGAGAACTTCAAGAACTTTGAAGCAATCTCCTTAAGCTTGACGATCTGTACCTCTTTAAAATCAGGCGATGCCGGGTCCAGATGGATGACAAGATCTTTGCCATTCAGTTGCGCGGCATAGTCACCATCCTCAGATAGAGAGATTGTGTTTGAGACTAAACTCATCATCAGTGATACAATTTGCTACCAAAACGGCTATAAACGCACCCCCTGCTCCGGTGGAGTCCATTGTCGATTTCAGCTGCAGCTAGGTTCAGTAACTGCCGTCGAGATGCAGTACAGAAATTATGACGCGTGCATGTACTCCTGGTATCATGCGCATCCTAGACACTGTTTCTCATCACGAGCTTCCAGGGATCGAAGTCCTGGGACTGTTTTGAAGGTTTCATTATTTATCTGAACCCACTTTATTGGAAGGCGCCAAGGCTTCACATAGATTAGGTAAGCAGTACTATGGAAACACAAATTTGACAGCTGCTAATGATAGCCATGCGCATCAACAAAGTCTGCAAAGGTTGTAAGAGAGAAGTATCTATTCTCAGTCTTAGCTCATGCAATATATAAGCATATGGCCTCTTGTACGACGAGAAACAGGCATATTGAGAAGACAGCTGAGTGGCGTGTGCATGTTGTTTCCCCGGATAAGATAAGAGGATCAACATTGATCCCCTCCGAAATAAATTAATTGTCGGCAAAAAAGCGCCCGCCATCCGCATCATTTGCGACTTACCAGACTCCAGATACCATCCGCAAACCGCTACCTTGATTGCTCCTTTCGGGGACAAGAATCTCTTAGTTCGTAAATATTCGTCTCCCTCGGTTCTCACCCCCTTGGCTGGGGCACTTCATCCCCAAGTTTCTACGCCCAAACGTGAAAATGGCGGTCCCGGAGACACAGCCCGCTCCGCAAGGAAGCGTCGCAGACCAGAATGCGCCTGTAGCTGCGGCTGCTGAACCGAGAAAGAAGCTCCTTGGAAGGCAGTTCTACGAGAGTATTGGAAGCCCGAAGTACATCATTGCACCTATGGTGGACCGGTCTGAGTTTGTAGGTTCCTCTATGAACGTACTCTTCGATCACAGCTAATCGTCCCGGAGGCGTGGCGCATGCTCACTAGGTCGTTCATGACACCGGAAGACCAGAAGAAGGTTCTTGCATACTCCCCCATGTACCATGCGCGCTTGTTCCGTGAGCAAGCGAATGTCCGCGTACAGCACTTCCACCCTACTCGCGCTGCCGCCGGCAAAGGCGAGGATGAATCGCCATATCTCGACGGAAACCCTTCGTTCGATCGGCCTCTGTTTGTTCAATTCTGCGCCAATGATCCTGATGATTTCTTGGAGGCCGCGCGCCATGTGGCACCATACTGCGATGCGGTGGATCTCAATCTGGGATGTCCTCAAGGCATTGCGAAGAGGGGTCACTATGGTGCTTTCCTCCAGGAAGACTGGGATCTGATTTACAAGCTTATCAACCGACTTCACAACGAACTCTCGATCCCAGTCACTGCCAAATTCCGTATCCAGGAAACGAAAGAGAAGACGCTCGAATATGCGAAGCTGATCTTGTCCGCTGGTGCGAACATAATCACGGTGCACGGACGCAGAAGAGAACAGAAAGGCCACAACACCGGACTGGCTGATTGGAGCTACATTCGCTATCTCCGCGATAACCTTCCCCCAGAGACGGTCATCTTCGCGAATGGCAACAACTTGAACTATGAAGATCTGGACCGTTGTCTGGAAGAGACAGGTGCTGATGGTGTCATGAGTGCGGAAGGCAACTTGTCCGATCCATCGATCTTCAGCAAGCCCCCTCCAGTTGGCAGTGAAGGGAGGGAATACTGGCGAGGCAGGGATGGAAAGGGTGGATATCGTATCGACGCCATGCTACGGCGGTACTTGGACATCATCTACAAGTACGTGCTTGAACAACCTGTTCCGGACAGGAAGCCGCTTTATCTTCCATCGGACGCAGTGGAAGAAGAACCTGAACAGACAACCGAAACAACCGAGGAAACCGAAGACGGCCCGCCCAAGAAGAAGCAGAAGCGCGAGAAGTCAAAGAGAGCGGCCTCTCCCAGTCTCGGTGTCATGCAGGGCCATCTCTTCCAGCTTCTCCGCCCTATGGTCTCTGTGCATACTAATGTCCGTGATGCGTTGGCAAGATCGAGACCTGGCGATATGCCCGCATTCGAAAATGTCCTGGCTCTCGTCGAGCAGGCAATTAAAAAGGGTCTTAAGGAATATGAGCAATTCCCGGAACGCTTCGAGAAAGATCCGAACCAAGAATTGACCGGATCCAAGGCGACCATTGCCGAGTACGGCCGACCTTGGTGGATCTGCCAGCCACACATCCGACCACTGCCTGAGGAGGCTGTCGAACTGGGCGCGCTTACTGTGAAGAAGAAGAACGATGGCAATGAAAAGCCCAAGGCGGACGAGTCGTCTGAAAAGGCCACCCCTACTGCAGAGGGATCTGCCACTCCTTCGAAGACGGACGGGGCAGCTAACACGCCTGCCACGGCGACTACTCCGGACAACCTGGTGAGCGGTTGATATCACGATTCAATATTTGGTGTTTTTTGCGGAGTAATGGGACCAGCATCTTATACCCAAGTTGGGCATAGCTACTATTCATGTTAGATATAGACGCATACAGAGCACATAGTACATAGAGCTACGTTTATGAACTTATAATTTTCAAATTCTCTCGAAAATCTCCAGGTTTAGCATCACTGACAGTACAATCACTGGTATCATAATCCATGAAAAGCCCAACCCCATAAACTCCATCCCAACCCATATAGAACAGAAGAAAACCCCTCTAAAAATCCATAACAAGCTGCGGCGCCATCTTCTCCAAATCCTCAACCTAAACCCCACACATAGTCAGCAACCACCCACATCACCCTCCAACACATCAACTAAACACAAACACAAAGAGGGGAAAAGAAACAAACCTCCAAAAACCCATCCCCAACCGAAGCCCCCTTCCCAACAGCCTCACTCCTCTCAAACGCCGCTCTCGCCAACGCCTCCCTCACAAAAACATCCACATACTTCGCGACAACCGTATTTGCATCCTTTGCGATCTTCGTCTTCTCATTCTGGAAATGATGATGCAGTAATCTTGTCAACAACTTCGGCGGAATAACAGGGTCGTTCGTGAGCACATCGTCAGATGGCTGATCCTTGTGGATGATCTCCGCGAGAAT